GCTACTGAAATTCACTAGGGTTAAGGGGGTCGGAATGGGTAGAACCACTCCTTCAGTATCTCGCATACCTTGTAAATCCTATAAGGATCACTACAAGTCAGTCTTGGCTTGATGGCACACAACACATGCACAACACCAGAGATGGAGACGGTGTGCCCCAAACTTGACTCCATCTTTTTTGGCTGTCGGCTGGCAGGAGACCCCAAAACAGCCTTTTCAAAGTGGAAGATTGCCAGGTCTGTTGGCATGGTAGGTGGTGGGGACTACAGCCCAACACAGCTGAAGAATACCATGCTGGGGAAGATGGGTCTAGGTTTCCAAAGAGGCCACTCTCATCAGGTGAGCAAAATTAAAGGTTAGGAAAAAAAGAGGGGGGGAAAAGAGAGTGTTGTGGCACTCCAAAGACTAAGAGATTTATTTCCACATGCATTTTCACAGACCAAAATCCACATCCTGGCAGAAGGGGATTCTGAACCACAAATGCTCACAATGGAATAAATCGATCCTTCTTGAAAGTAACACAATATTTTCCCCAGTCTTCCCCCTCCTTCTTACTGACCTAGATTATATCTCTCACTTCGGACCATAGGTCAAGGATGGGCAGCTTTGGCAAATATAAAGCCAACTTTCTCTCCCTGGAAAACGGTGGTTAGGGTGCACAAACCACTCCAAATGCCAAAAACCCTGGAAGAATGAAACTGAAAGTAGCTAGCAAGTTGCTATTTAGAAATACAGTACTGTACTGTTATTTTTTGTTGGTGTAAAATGGGGCTGAGGGACTCTTACCTAGTTAAAAAGATAAATCGCAGCTGTTTTAAATCACAACAACATAGCATTGCAAGTTCAATATTTATATCCCTTACATTAAAGGCAGAAGGACAGAGGCTGGGAGAAAGAGTGACATGTTTAAGGCAGGAGCAGGGGAGCCTTTGGCCCTCCAGATGTTTGGGATTTCAAATTCCAGGAGCACAGAGGGGATTGATGGCAGAGATAAAATTCAAACTAGAAGCTTCCCTGCCATTCACAGCCTGGCGTGCTACAAAGCCAGGGTTCAGCTCAGTCTGTCTGTCTCATAGGCAGAACAGCTCTAGAAGCTGGTAGAGGAAAAGCGGGGGGGAGAGAGAAAAAGAGGAGTCAGATGAACAGTGAGATCCTGTTGCACGGCTTGTCCAGCTTAAAGAGGAGAGGGTTGGGTGGGGGGGGAAGAACAATTAAGCAGTTTCTAATGTGTGGTGGGGAGGTGGGGAAGAGTTGGGCATTGATCTATTTTTCCTTTTTGAAGACCTTTACAGTCAAGCAAGAGAAAACAAGAGCACAGATGGAGTGGGCATTTTCAACCGGGGGACTTTCCCATTCATCTTCATAACATCCCTTTTAAAAGCAAAAGCATCAGAATGGGCGGCTCAAGGCTGGGACACGCTTCCAAAAGAAGAGCCTCCTCACCTCCCCAGGAAACACAGCTGGCTATCCTATGAGAGGCCAGGATGGGGCTCCCCGACCTCATTAGTACCAACCGACTGGGCGGAGGGCTCTTTCCACAACCAGAGCAAGCCTGGCAAAATCCTGATTTAAAGGCAAGTAGGTAGCAGTAGTCGCAGGAAGGGATGCTGGTTGTAGTCCGTGTTGTTTGGTGAAGTTCAGAACCAGGAGCCAATCATTCTAAATTGAGGAAGAGCCCTCAAAATGAAGGACTTGATTAACACAAGGAAATTATCCAATTAATACACACACCGCCTATTCACCAGTATTGTTTGCTTTTGATGCAGAACTTCCTTTTGAGAAGATCTCAAAAGAGTTTTGGCTTTTCCTTCCTTCCTTCCTTCCTTCCTTCCTTCCTTCCTTCCTTCCTTCC